TGCAGTAAGCCGATTTTGTTCTCTGAACTCCTTATGCAGGACAACCTAAAAAACTCAACACCATGACCCTCAACACTTGAAAGATTTGAGCTTTTTGGTATACTCGCATGATCAATTGTTCAAGACTAGTGTTTTTTGTGGGGGGAAAAAAAAATCCACAGGAGTCTTCAACTTGCAGTCGCTTGCTTTCTTCCACAGATTTCAAATAAGCATTAAACAATGCCTGTGCCAACTTGTTTCACCACAGGCTCAGTTAAGTCCAATTAGGGTTGCCAGGAATCTAAGCAAAACTGAATCAAAGAGCAACTTCAGAAGAGACTAAGCAGCAGCAACTGTCACGAGTCTCTAATGCTTATTTGTATGCATTAATCCCAACTGCTTCTCAAATTTTAGCCGTAATACATAGCATGCAGCAGACAGTGAGGCTGTTAACTGGTAACACCAGCGTTTGTATAAGGACATTGGAAACCCACCACTGTGCCTGTGGAAGGGCTGCAGAGTGTTTTATCCAGTGAGTACCGCTGGTGGTTGGCCTTCCACATGCAGGAGAATGCAAATATATCAGGGTACGATTTTCAGAAACTGTAAGTATCCCCGGGGAGCCCTCGCTGCTCAGCAACAATGAAAACCATTCCCATCAGTATTATTTATATTGTGTAATAATAGCATATTACTTATACATGGACTCAATATCTCTGTGATGGATAGGTTATTAAAATGCCAATGGATGGGTCAGAAATACATCAATATTTTAGCAGCACTGGTTATCAACCCAAGGCTATGCTAAATCATATATTTTCTTGTGCTTGGAAAAGCTTGGAGAAAACTACAATAACTGTCTGAAGTGACTGAAGGGATATTTGGAAGAGAATTCAAAGCTTGTAGTAAATAGTATTTTCCTTAAAAACAAACAGTCAAGATTGAATCACGAAAGAAAAAGAAAACCATGAAAAGAGATCCAGGAAAATTTAAGAGAGAGATCCGTATCAAAGAAATTAATGGGAGTGACGGGCTGCAACTTTCAGCTTAAGACAGAGACCTGCATGTGCAGCAGCAATGAAAATACATGTCAGAATAGCAGGTAAATTGTGGCTTGGCAGGGCGGGGGGGTGACCTGCGAGCTGTGCCGAGCGCCCCGCGCCAGCGCTGCAGCTGCATGCTCTGCCTCCTCACGCCTGGGGCACAGGCGCTCGCCCGCGCAGAACTCAGCAGAGCTTAATCTCCTGGAGCTACTGAAGCTTCCAAATGAGTCTAAAGTAATGGCAGGACAAGCAAAAATGACCTGCTTAGATGCACTGAATGGTCATCTTATAAACTGAAAATGAAATCATGCCAGTCATGACAACGAAAGAAGGAGACTAAGAAATGGGGAATAATGTGCTGCTGAGGGAAGCCACAGCAAGGGGAAGGCCCCACTGCAAAGGACATCTGCTTGACTTCTTGGCATTATTTAATGGACATCACACTGCTAACAGACTGCAGATGCACTCCACAAGAGCAAGTGCAAAGCATGCCGCCGTGCATCTGTTATAATGCTAAGACCTTTTCAATGATATTTGTAGTGATATTTGAACAGGTAAACATGCCCTTAAGTCTGCAAGTAGGAGAAAGCTAACAGAGAGTTATGAGATGGAATGGGAAAGGCAGTTATGGTACAGTCAGGGTACAAGTACACTGTATACTAATGGGGCTCTAAAAGAAATAGTACTCTCCCTGCTCAGGAAAACATTTCCGCACGTGTTTAACCTTACCACCACGGATAACTGCACTGATGGGGAACTCGGTGCTTCAGCATCTGCAGAACCAGGATGCCTGTGAATATGCTTGTGACTTACCTTAAATACTAATATACCAGTCCTTAAAAAATGAATTCAAGGCTTCCTCCCTCCCAAAGCTTTTGTGCTTTTACTACAGACCAAACGATAACACTAACACTTCTTGGCTGTGCCCCCTCCCAGCTTCTTGTGCACCGGCAGAGCTGAAAAAGTCCTCGATTAGTGTAAGCACTACTTAGCAACAACTAAAACATAATTGTGCTATCAACATTATTCTCATACTAAATCCAAACCACAGCACTATGCCAGGTATTAGAAAGAAAATTTACTCTATCCCAGCTGAAACCAGGACACTTACGCCAAATAAATTACATTATTCAATCCCTACAGTTCAAACTAATAAAATACTTAATTTTCTAACACGTTTTTTCTACCATGTATTTGAATGTACTTTTACATAGTAAAAATCCCAGTTTTTCAGTCTCTGAAAGTACCGTATAATAAATCAACTGGAAACTATACAAAATTATCACTCTGCCTAACTCCTGAAATTAGCGTTTGTTTGAAATGATAATTGTTCAACTTTACAACAGCTTTGGGCTTTGGTTGTGACTTCCTCCTAACAAACTTGAAGTACAAAACACCTCCTAAGGACTGAAATATAAATGTTTGATTTAAACACAAGTGGAATGAGTAAGACCTTTGCTAGGTGAGAATACCATGATTTGGAATATACAATGGCACTAAATTAGGTCTAGAGCATGGTCTCTTGGGCTACGTGTCACTGACTGAATGTGATCACATCCTGATGGCTTAGGAAGTTACAACCTGTCAGCTGAGTTTCTGTAACTCAACTGCGTACATGCTTTTAACTCAACGCAACTGCAGGAAAAAACGTTAATAGCTTCCATCTTTATGAACCTAATCCAGTTATGTAGCTTGATGGATGGTAACTTGTTATGCCACCGTAATATTCTCATAGTCTAAGGCACAACCTCCCAGCAAACAGGACTTAACAGGTAATGTCATGTCTCCTTCCTAATTTCTGATTTTACTGTTGTGTATGTACACAAACCCTGAAACACTAGGAATCAGCTTCTGATTTCGCACTAACGTAACACTGGTATAACTCCAATGACTTGAGGGGAATTTTTCTAATTTATGCTTATGCCAAATCGGGTCCTATGAACTTTATATATAAAGAGAAGTGGTTTTAATAGTAGACATAATTTTCTTTTCTTATATAAAATTGATTGTCAAGGAAACTTAATTACATTTAGCCCATCTGTGGTAGTCAGATTAATTAAATATTTCTCTCTGCACTTAGCTCTTAATTGTAATGTCAACAGAACTGTCCTAGTCCATGTTATGTTGCCATTAAAAAGGAAAAAGAAAATTACTTTTAAAACCTGCAGTGAAATGATGTTAAGTGTCTGCCTTAAACTGACAAATTCAAGGAGATTTAGAGTTAAAACTGCCAACTCTTTCAATAACTCACCGTTATTGCAGAATATAAAGCACCCAAAATCACAATACAGGGCAGTTTATAGAGAGCCAGTTCATAGAGTGTATCAGAAAATGCTTTACATACATTACAGGCGAAACAGGGTTTTTGTGGACAGATTTAAGAGTGCAGGCGAGTGAGTCAGTGGCTCGGACAGCGGGGGAGAGCACCAGACAGATGGGAAAGCACGCGGGGGGCAGCGATGCCAGCTGCGGGACCTTGTGTGAAAGGGATACAAACCAGCGCCGAAGAGCAGAGAGAGTGGGCAGAGATGGCTGTTAGATGTCTTGAAAATAAGGTGGAAAAGGAAGGATAAGAGAGGAATAAGGTGATTTTGAATGGGGTTCAGAAACGAGGAAGCCTTTGCCAAAGGACAGCATGGTCTTCGAGCCCACAGGATACAGAATCAGAAGGTCTCAAAATATGTCTGTAAATGAGGAATCATCACTGAGTCAGAATGTTTCTATTGAGGTCCCACAGTGACCTCAGTTCTTGGCCCTAAATCAAGCTTAATTTATCAATGACCTGAAAGAAAATAGACAATCATTATATTAAGGTTTGACACTACAGTGGGGTATGAGATCTTAGCCAAGACACTGAGATAGTCCGTAAGCGTGACACAATAATATACATTTCGATATATCTCAGTGTACAATCTAAGGAAAAAAAAATGTAACTGTGCTTGGGGCAGATGTATTCACAGTCTGAATGAGAAAGCTGCACAGCTCCAAGTATGGGGGCAAGCACACAGTAAAGGATGATAGTAAGTAAAGGAGAGGAAAGTCCTTCTTGACTGTCCAGTAAATGAGTATTCCTAAAATAGATAGGAAAAATAATTAACTCTGAGAACAATCAGTGAGGAGTGTTGTGGCTTTTCTCCCACTGATAAGTTTGAAACAGAATCTGGATGTTTTTCCTGAAAAAAATGCACTTGCTCGTGTATTAGAATGAACTACTGGAAAGGAGGCAGAGACTAACTTATGAAAGAACTATGTTTTTCCCAGCAAACCTAAAACTTACACAGCCTTAGGATGAATCAAGACTACAGAGGTCTGAGACAGGGAGCACCCAGTGCCAAATGCCCTGGTTCAACTGGTGGAAAAGAGCGAATGATTATTTTAGTACAGGGCTCTGCTTACGGTACTCTCAAAAATGATTTCTGCATACTTTCTGTACTAGCTTACTCAACAATTGTTCAAATGTAGGTCCAGATAATTGCAAGAACTGTGCTGTGTCTCAGTGGTAACATTAAGAAAGAGATTAATGTTAAAAAAGGATTTCTAAGTGTATGCTTTATGCTTGCAAATGTATTCATTTAATACTAACATAAGACTCTGGATGCATTTTGACAGGCACAGAGGTTTTTTCGTTTGGGTATCCATTGGCTGTCTTTTCTGAAATAGAGGATGGACTTATCAGTTACAGTGGAAAGGAGACCGAGTAATTACTTGTTACATGGTGGTTTTTTCCCTGTAGAAAAGAATCAAGTACTGGGATGATAGGTATGGCACATACACAATTTCTCCTTGAACAGCATCTAGCACAAGGGTCTGTTCCCTCACTGCACTGCTTCAGATGAAGTCAGTGGAACAACTGTCTTGAGCAAACAGACAAACATTGACATTCCATGATAAAAACGAAAACATATGCCAAAACTATAGATTCAAATGACCATCAAGCATGTGACAAATAAACAAAGAGACATGAATTATGTATCATACCTCCATCATTGTCCAGGTTATCTCCACACACCATTTCCATGACAACGTTACATCCCGAGCCACTCCAGCCCACTTGACAAACACAGTGCCATCCATTCTGATCAAGAGTGCACCTCCCATTTCCATAACAGAGACCTGGGCAGCCATCTAGAAAAGAAAATGTAAAAAAGAAGTCTTCATGGAGGAGTTCTCTTCTCTTCTTTTACAGTTGCAATTATTCTTCAACATTCTTTCACATAGTATTATACTTGCTGCCTTCAAATGATCACAGGTCCCTTGCAAGCCATTTGTATTTTTGGCCAAATACGGAAAGATCCCATCCTGGTTCCTCCCTTTGCTTGCCCAAAAGTAATTTTTCAGTGAGGAATGAGCATTTTTTTAGTGTGTAGTATTTTATGTGCAGGAAAAAAGTGCGTAAACTTGTAAGAAGATATTTAAAGTCTGCTGTGTCCATCTTTTTTTCTACTAATAAATAAATAAGCTGTAGATCACAAAGGAAGGTATATCATAGAACCATAGAATCACAGAATGCTTTGGGTTGGAAGGGACCTTTAGAGATCATCCAGCCCAACCCCCCTGCAGGGAGCAGGGACAGCTTTAACCAGATCAGGTTGCTCAGAGCCCCGTCCAACCTGACCTGGGATGTTTCCAGGGATGGGGCCTCCACTACCTCTCTGGGCAACCTGCTCCAGTGCTTCACCACCCTCATTGTAAAAAATGTTTTCCTTATACCCAGTCTAAATCTACCTTCCTTTAGTTTAAAAGCATTACTCCTTGTCCTGTCACAACAGGCCTTGCTAAAAAGATTGTCCCCATCTTTCCTATAGGCCCCATTTAAGTAGTGAAAGGCCGCAACAGGGTCTCCCCACAGTCTTCTCTTCTCCAGGCTCCATGCTCCAGAGAGTATACATAAACATACACGTAAACAACGTTTATATCAAAGATATACATGGCAAATACTGTGTAAATGACAATCTGGCATTTGTGGACATAATCCTACACATTGCAGGGAGTGGAGGTAACCTTTTTATTTTGTTCATAAGTACTCAGCTGACTGAGAAAAAGCCAATTCAATTTATATCACAATACAACTCTTTCCACAGAAGGCGAATGAGGGAGCATTTCCTTCCAATGTCCAGTTCCACTTCCTTCACATTATAGCTGATTCAAATATGACAAACACTTGCCCTTTAGTGGCTCTGAATCTAGATCAAAACTGGAACAATGACTGTAGCATCCTCTGGATTATATATTTGTAAGCTCTGAATCAATAGTAATTTTGACATTCTCAGCTAGATCTCTTGCCTATAAGAGTGAGAGAGCAATTGTCTCTTGGATGTGTACACTCACATCCATCTGCTTGCATAGATGAGTGCCAGCTCAGACATTTGTCAAATCCTCACCATGTCACACGTGGAGCCAAAGGACAATGGATAAAGCTCAGCAATAAGCTTAGCAGCGCAAGTGGCATCCCTTCTAAGAGGGCTCCTTCCTTCTTGCCAGCATGGACATACAGGAACCGAAAGGCCTTCTGTACTTGGTAGTGAACTTCAACACTTATGTGTTATCAGACAGAATTTTTTTTTTGAGGAACAAAGAAGAGGACTCAGTCTGCATATGTGTTTGGCAGCCCCAAGATGCTCCAAAAGGACTTTGGAGGAGCCAACCAGAGAGTCAGAAAATCTGTATGACTGGTCTGTTAGGTAGTGACTTACAGCCCAGCATGCAGCACATTTCCTGGCAACTTTACACTTGACACATCATCTCTCTCCTTCTCGCCCTCAACACGGTTTATCAATCACATCTGCAAATAGGGAGATTGGAGATGAAGAGCTGGAGATGGGTGGCACCGTTTTCTCACATTGGAATTCTGGAAGTTGCTGCTCTAACATAGCATGAGGTTGGCAACCACCAGATATACTATAAAAGCCAATTATTTGCCTCTTTCAGGGAGCTGGGGGAAAGGGCAGGATGTGAGAGCTGTTCTGGGTAACAGGGATTTTTTTCCACTTCAATTCACTGTCCTGCTGAGTTAAGTCATTTCTTGTACATGATTACATTTTGCTGCTGTGTGTGGTTATCCTCTAAGACTATAAATGTAATCAAATGAATGCCCACATGATTTTATTATCTAATTCTGAAGAAATAAAATAATAAGTACAAAATAAACGCCCAGGTCTTTCTGGAATATTGGTTAGTTTGATATTTCAGCTAGCAACATTTTTGCAAGGGGCAATGTGCATCATTGCTCTGCACAGCATGGCTAGGACTGAGGGACTGCTGCCAAACTCGGGGAAGGTACTTGCGCTGACATGAAGAAGCAGGACCTGCGGCAAGGCATGGAAATCAAATGAACAGCACCAGACACAAAACAACATAAAATTTAACTCTTGTATCAAATGATTTGAAGAGAACTATATCACATCTAGCATAGACAGCTTTTAAAAAAGTGTACTTCTCTATCAAAAGAAACTTACTTCAAGCACAAATGACAAAAAGAAAAAGAAAATTTTTGTTCTCATGGAAGACAGGATCAACACAAAGTTCTTTGAGCAAGCCCTCAGCTCTGGCATTACTTTGGAATGGTAAGCAAGAGCAAAACACTGATTTGCCTAACATAGCACATCAGATGGCCACATAAAACATGCTTACATTGCTACAACTTTGCAAATGAGTTGCGCACATTATTTGTGAAAAACTGCATTTTCTTCTGTAAATCTCTGTCCCTCTGTGTGTGTACGTATATCTATATCTCCATAAACAAATGTTCTATCTATTCTGGCAACTTAGCAGTACAGAAGCTCAGACAAAACAAGTAACACAAAACACTCCCTTCCCAATTCTTTTGTATCTTTTCATTATTCTTTCGCAATGCTGATATGAAAAAACTTACCTCGAACAGCATCTAAGTAGTGAGCTTAAAAAAGAAAAGAACAAAACTGAGATGGATTGAACTTCTGTACCCAAATGAAAATACAGACACCATTTGCTTATGGCTTGCCACCTGTTGGTTAGCTAGAAAGCGTCTCCCTCTTACTGCAGTCAGGTCTATTCCTGCTACAGGGATCAAAACATTGCGTATGTGATCGTTCTCCATTTGATGACAAGCATGCAGAGGACAGCTTGGGCCATACCTGGCGGTGCCTACAGTGTGAAGAGCAGCTCTATTGATCTTTTTAATGAATTTGGTCCTTTTCTGCATTTATAGAATCATAGAATCATAGAATCATCTAGGTTGGAAAAGACCTTTAAGATCATCCAGTCCAACCATTAACCTACACTACCAAGCCCACTCTAGACTAATCAAGGGTAGACCAGACTAAACCATATCCCGAAGTGCCACATCTACCCGTTTTTTAAACGCCTCCAGGGATGGTGACTCCACCACCTCTCTGGGCAGCCTGTTCCAATGCCTGACCACCCTTTCCGTAAAGAAATTTTTCCTAATTTCCAGTCTAAACCTCCCCTGGCGCAGCTTAAGCCCATTTCCTCTTGTCCTATTGCTAGCTACTTGGGAGAAGAGACCAACACCCACCTCACTACAACCTCCTTTCAGGTAGTTGTAGAGAGCGATAAGGTCTCCCCTCAGCCTCCTCTTTTGCTTTACACAATCTTTAGAAAATCAGGCCGTTCCTCCTTCACAAACCTAATTCTTGATTTAGCAAATCTGATTTAGTAAATTTTAGAGCCAGTGAATGAATTGTCTTAAAATGATCAAGATAAAGATAAAACACTCTACTTTTTTCTCAGGAAGCAAGCATGAAAGCTTACGCTGCTTACCTCTGAAAGTTAGATACCCTGCTATTATAAACAATTAAAATGTTTATGAATAATCATGCTCTGGGACATTTTAGGGACAAACACTATTAGACTTTGCAAAAATCTGTTGTATTTCATTAAAAACATAACTGTTACATTTGTATAGGAGAGTAATGACTTCTAAAAAGATCTGAAACCTTTACCTTATTAGGAATATTGTCAGAAGCCAGCTATAGAAAAACCACCTCTAGTAGTAAGTAAAATATGTAAATCCTCAGACATGAAGGCAAGAAATTTAATGCAAGAATTACTTAAGCTGAATAATAGCTTCATCCCCTCAACACCTTCTATTTCTTAAACATTTTTTTCCTTCCTGACTCGAAGTTCACTTATGAACACAACCCAAAGACATGTTAGGACTGATATCTCCTTCTTTTGTGTGTTTTTTAAAAACTTAACCCATCAGTGTTATTTCCTCTAAACAGAAAGCAGCACTGGGTTGCTATTCTGTGGGACAAGCAGGGTGCACCATCGGTGCAGACGCACCTTTTTATACCTGGCCTGCTTCTGGGTCTCTGTTTTTCCAAAATTACTTGAATCAGACTGATGCCTATGGCAGATCTTTGTGTGACAGGTTAAGATTTTATGTATTTTATTTCTAGAGGTACAAAATGCCCTTACCAATGGTGCAGTGGTCCCCTTCCCATCCAGGGCTGCACTCACACTTCCCGTCCTTGCACTGGCCGTGTTCAGCGCAGTGAGAGTGGCAGGTACGTTCTTCACAGGTTGGTCCCACCCAGCCCTCTTCACACTGGCATATCCCTCTCGAACAGACACCATGGCTGCCACAGTCCAGGGTACATAGCTCTGCACAGGATAAAAAAATACATAATGTGAAACAGCAGTTTCCTACTGTGAATAGACTTTGCACCGATACTAAATTTAATCACCTCTATACTAATAGCACTCATGAATTGGATCAAATATGGCATTTCATCACCCAGTACAGACCTGAAACAATCTGGCCGCCTCCTTCTTTAGCAGTTACTTGCAAGATCATTTATTTGTTTGGGGTGGGGACTGCAAAAATGATGGCTTTGCATATGGTAGGGGAATGGGTCTAAACCAGACAAACAATGATGCAAAGAAGTTCACATCTTTTGACTGATTTCAGCTGAGGCCCTTAATAACAGCATGCCATGTCTGTTCCCAGGTCTCACTGGCTCAGTTCTGAAATCTATTAACTCAAATATTGCAAGTGAGCTGAATTACAGGATTAAGTGGCACATTCAATACATACAAGCAAAAGTCTTTGAGATAGTCAGACATTTGTAGTGATGGTAAAATGGCCTTCACTTACCGAAGAGCCACCAGAAAGGTAACAGTGAGACAGAAGAAGAGCAAGCACCCCACTCTGACGGCAGTATACAATATTATATGACTTACAGGCCACGCAGATCTGCCTAGTTCTAAAATGGCTTTCAAGGATTAAAACTTTTTTTCCATCCTGATGCTCACGAGTCAACTGCTAAGAAACCAGAAAAGCTGTTTTGGGAAGACGGGAGCACCTCCTTCATTGCACTCAGAACAATTTCTCTACCTGGGCACTGCAGAACACCACTTATGGTGAAGTGGAATGAAAGTCCTGAATTGTTTCAATACATCACAATATGCCAATTGCAGTTCTACTTCCACTTAGACTAAAGTTGTTCTGTGAAAAGAATGGCTTCATTATAAAAAGGTTCCATGTAGTTTGAATTTATTTAGAATAATTAGTGTCAAGAGACAGAATTTGCTTGTTATTCTGCAATTAACCTGCCACAGAAATGTTTCCTCCTTCTTCCTCTCGGAAAGCAGCTGATAGCACTACAAGTTTAAGCCAAATAATCGTGTTTGCTCTGATTTCAAATGTCAGTGTTACATATTTAGTTGTGGCAAGATTTTTCCTTTGACAGATTTTAAACAATGATAATTTATATCTTGGAACTATTGTATATAAACATTCTTAAAAGCATTTGTAGTGACAAATGCTGTCACTGTATATACACCAAGCAAAGTTCTTAAAGTTTAAATTGAAATCTTATCAATTCCCATCAGTTTAACACAAAGCAAAAAACAGCACAGAAACAGAACTGCACAGTGACATCGCAGACGTGCCCGGCTCTGTCTCAAGTTAGAGTGTAGCCTTTATTTTTGTTAACAGCCGGGGTGATGGCACAGGGCGCAATTGAGAGAATCGGCGAGTGACAAACTGGAAGAGCGAGGTCAAACTCAAAGAGCGTGGTCAAACTCAAAATCACCTTCAGAAGCAGAAGGCATGGTAAAGAACCTAGGATAAAATTCAGTAAAAGCAACTGTGAAGTACTGTCTTGAGGAAGTCAGAATCAGCTACATAAAAAATAATTAATTTTACTATTCAGACAAGGACTTGCGTTATACTGGAGTACAAGATAAACATAATTATCTGATGATATTCCTGCAAAAAGAGTTTATAAGACAAGGAAAGAGACTGCTCTGCTATACTCAAACAAAAAACTGTGCTGAGCCTGGGGCATTATCCCTTAGAAAGACTTGATTGCTGCCTGCTGATCATGTATTAATCTAATGCTTCATGCCTTGGACTGCCTGCCTGCAGGTACTGGGAAGGATTTCTTCCGCCTTGCTGCATAATTTGGCTTGGCTTTTTTGTTTTGTTACTTGGAAACCTGGGAGACCACTCAGAGGACTACAGGGGGGACTTGCTCTGTTATTTCGTTGGTACTGAACTCACCCAAATACTTGCTCCTACGATCAGGAAGTAAACTGATCCCACCAGATCTGGGATCACAAAAGAATCACCCCCGGGCCAGACTGGCAGAGGACCACTGGTGGTACAGCTTGGGGCATGGGCTAACTCCTGAGAATTAAACCTAACAAATTACCTGCTATTTCAAGGACTTAGGCTGCTAGAGGGATGCCTTTGATCTCTCCTGATCTCCCTCTAGTTCATTATAATTATTGCTTTGTTATTTTACTCCAAGTGGTAAAGACGGTTAAGAGGATTTTAAGAAATACTCTGTAGCTTACACTATGCTGGGGTAAGTGGAGTAGATGGGTTTTGAGCCTCTTCTCAAAAGAGAAGAGACTTCTGGATTGAGACTCTGCCACATAGTTTTTTGCAGTTGTGGGACTGGCTTAGTTCAACTGATACCAAAACTTCAAGGTATATTGTAGGCATCAGTATACAGAAATGGCAGCGTAGGCTGGAATGGCTGCAGTGGGGAAACAAAGTGACACATAAAGCTTTCCATCATGTCAGCAGCTCTAGCAGCTCCCACCACTTCCCTGTCTGTAAACAAATCAAAGAACCAGCTGTGGAAAACCTTCAACACATTCCCACACATGGCATGCATGCCTGCCTCACCTCTGGCCGTCACCCAGCAGTCTAATCGTGACAAACTCATCTCCCAAACACACAAAAGAAATAGCAGCATGGAGCCGAAGGCAATGTAGGCACATCCCTACCATAGGGACATAGATCTTGCACATATTCCTATTTTACAACCCCAAAAGTAAATGGATCTTAAAATGTTTGAAAGTTTTCCATTGTTTTCCCCGCATTTCACACAAGGAATAAAATGTTTAAACACTATTTAAGCTCATAAATTTGATCAGATTAATGAAGTGGAGATACAAGATTTCCTATCTCATCAAAAAATACCTTAGGCCAGTCAGTATATAGTCTTCACTCACATGAGATCATACACAGCCAGACAAATTTGCCTTTATTTTTTGCCTATTGGAATACGGTGGCTTCCTCTATCCCAACCACACTGTCTTGGAAACACAGCACCACAGCACAAGTTCTGGACACCAGACTGGCTCTGTGTGATAGGAAACATTTGGTTAGTTGTCCTGTGCCCAGTTATTCAGTTTTCACACCTCATTTCTGCCAGCATTTCAGGGCACAGTAACCGAGTAAAAAGTGTTACAAAAAAAGTGTGTCTCAAACCTGTTCCGGCGAAGAAATGCCGGAATGATCTTACGTAGCTCTTGCCTTTCCTTTTAGTAATGCTTTTATTTAATTATATTTAATGTGAATCTTCTTTGATACAAATCAAAACCAATTCTGTAAGCACCAGATGTAACAAAACCTGTTTCTTAGTTTGGATCAGACACTTTCCTCAGTTACCCCGGCTGTCCTGCTGCTCAGCCCACTCATACTTTACGGTCACTGAGGCCAATGTTGAGACTTACATTTGTTTCGGTGATTTAATATGAGGCTTCAGAAATGCTGTTTACTGTGATAACGTATTCTTCTGCCATGCAAATCGAAGATCCTCCCCAGACTTCTCATGCAAAGCAAGGGAAATCAAACCTAACATCATCCTATTAATGCCCTGATAGTACCTGCAGCTTTAATCCACAGTTAATTCAAACAACTAAGATTAAAAAAAAAGCATTATCAGTTCAGGTTGTCCTGTTTTTAAATGCAAAATATTCCTTAGCTCCTCCCGTAGATAAACAAGTACAGAAATATCAGCATAGCAGGAGCCACATTAGCATTTGTGTTTGTATTGAGACACTGGGTTTCCACGGCAGACTAGACAAAATTAGATACTCGAGTGAGCGGACAGTGACTGAATGCAATGGGAAACAATACAATAACTTGAAATAGGTAAATAGCTTCAAACGAAGCTGATGTGAAAATTCAGACGGCACTGAATTCAGACAGCAAGTCAGACACCATGCAACTGTTCTGTTCAATGGAGCATCTTCCCCCTTCCATGGCAGTTGGTCCTACAGGACTCAGAAGGACCCCAAAATGCAGTGGGTACTCCATGAGGGGCCAGCACAGCGGGGCAAGGGCTTTGGGCTGTGGGTAGGTGCAGCAGTTGAGACAGCCAAAGATGTCTCCTCTGACTGAAACAGCTATTCCACTCCCCCTCCTCTCCATCCATCTCTTGGCTCTGTCTGGAATCTGAAACTGTGGTGAGCTGATGCAGATCATGAAACTGGCAGATGATTATTCACTTTATTTTCCCGAGTTAATATCTGACAGCTCACTGAGCTCAATCAGCCCACTGAGGGATCAAAGAAGCAACACAGGCAGGGCAAGGGAGGAGATGCAGGTCAGAGCCTGGACGGGGACCGTCCTGCTGAGGAGCCACAAGTGCCAGCAGACACTGCAAAGGACAAGGGCAAGGGGGAGGCGACCTGCTTAAGGTAAGAAGGGAGGCAGGTGACAAGAGGTTACAGTTTGGATTAGAAGAGTCAACTCAGGGGTATTCTACCACAAGCCTTTCGTTATGCTGTGATATTAATTGCCACTCATTCTCACAACGTACAGTGCAACACACACAATTCATGAAGTCCCTCAACTGTGTTGGTGTTTAGGCTTGTAGGCTTGCATAGAAGCCACCTCTTCTCTCCCACCCCTCTTTGCCACTGTTTAGTGGGATATATGCCTGCCCAGATTGCCTGCCTGAGCTCTAGGCAGATCTTGCGCAGCGAGGCGGGTTGAAGGCTGGTATGTGGCTAACAGTCCAGATCCTCAGTAGGCGTGGATTTTCATGGCTCCCACGACACCAACAGTCACACTAATTCACAGTAATTCACGGCCTTGTTTCGGTTTCTGTACCTGTACACTTTGTAATCAAAACAAGCTTCTCTAAGTGTAGGGCTGGAAAGTTAATTTCCTTATTTAAAAAAAGCTCAGCTGTGCAGGCTCACTGCAAGCAACGTGCTGGCAAATTGCTGGGAGCTGGCCTCAGCCGACCCCTGCAGTTTCTTACAGACTTTCACGAAACACAGTCTTTATCAAATCTAAAATTCAGCGTCCTTAGATGTAAGAGACTTGAAAAATGTTCAACTCAGTCTAGAATTTT